CCATCCATCCATCCATCCATCCATCCATCCATCCATCTATCTATCTATCTATCTATCTATCTATCTATCTATATCCATCCATACATCCATATGCATGCTTGCATACATACATTTATATGCACTTTTAAACTGTCCATAATATGTAGAAATTCATTCAGTTGCTTTGTGTCTAGTTTAGAATCAAGGAAAATAATCCTAAGGATAGCTCTTATCTCTTTCAGTATCGTCTTTTTTCTAAAAAAGTAAACAAAAAAATATGAAACTAATTGTTCTACATTTTGTGCCATGCAAGTTTATTAGATGTAAAGATTACAATATTTTTTGTAAATATTTGAATAAAGAAAAGGGGGAGGCAGGGAGATGCTATTAAAGTACAGATAGAATTAAATCTCATTTTACCTGATCAGTAATTTGTTATAATACATTATCTCTTTTATTAAATTGGAACTAAATCTGCTAAACATGCAAACTGTCTCATACTTATGACATAGAGAGCAGTGCTCATTTTCCTCCTCAGAGTTTCATTTCTTTGACTTTTTGTGTGGTTTTATGATGCTTTTTATCAGTTTGTGTGCTTCGGATAATGTGTTAAGATTTTAAGTTTGCTTTTACCAATTGTTTTTATTAGCCTTGCAGTTATTGTTAACTACTTTGAGAACTGTTTTGATGTATTTATTTAATCAATTTATATTTCTGTTTAAAATTAACTTGTAGTACAGTTAGTTGACTATAAAATGTAGGCTGTAGATCAGTATCATTAATAACACAGTTGCAATCAATTGTTTCCTTTAATACCTATGCTAAGGGATTAAATTTTAAAGTGTGGTGTTAAATTCAGAGCACAAAACTTTCATTAAATAATAAGACTTACCTACAGTCAGCTGTCCTGTTATGTGTCCCATATGATTTCTTGCATTCATGGTAACATTCCTATCTGATTGTAGGACCAGTGGACTGTCCTGGAAAAAAAATGTATATAAACAATGAAATGAGAAGAAAAAACTGCAGAGAGAGAATGAGAGTATTCCTGTCAAAGACCAAGTATCTTCATGGGATCTAGTTGAAATTCTTGCTTTTCTTTTAATTCAAGTTGGTTGTTTTTAATGGTATTTATAGGGAAGAAACTATATATTTTGCAGGTCAGAAGAAGGGATGAGTAGATATTTACAGACTTCTCACAGCCTCTTTCAGTTCCTTCCTTTGGGACAGTGCTACAGAGTATTGAATGCCAAGACATCTAGATATGGGACAGTTTTTTTTCCTTTTATGGCATCACTCTTTTCAACTCAAAGAGTGTGACTGAAGAATTATTATTTATTCCTTTTATTATCTTCTTTACTTCCCTTTTTATTGCTATGACGATGATGATGATGATGATGATGATGATGATGATCTCTGTTGCATTGCAAGTACAGTACACACTTCTGTACTGGAGACATAGTTCTTGTGTGCCTAATTAGGTAAAGGCAAAAGTTCCCCTCGCATATATGTGATAGTTGTTCCAGATTCTAGGGGGTGGTGCTCATCTCTGTTTCAAAGCTAAAGAGCCGGTGCTGTCCAAAGACGTCTCTGTGATCATGTGGCTGGCATGACTAAATGCCAAAGGCACATGGAATGATGTTACCTTCCCACCAAAAGTGGTTCCTAGTTTTCTATTTGCATTTTTGCAAACTTTCGAACTGCTAGGTTGGCAGAAGGTATTATGCGGCACTAGGGATTCAAACCGCTGAACTGCTGATCTTTCTGATCGACAAGCTCAGTGTCTTAGCCACTGAGCTACTCTGTCACTCACAGTGTGTCTAATTACACTTAGCCAAATTAAGTATCCAATCCAATCCAATTATACATTCTTGATTATTTTTCTGTATGCCACCCAGAGTCACAAAGTGAAATGGGTAGCTGTAGAAATGCAATTATATAAAAAACAAACAAATAAATAGTACAGTTTTGCTAATGGCAGGTACATGGTGATATATGAAATCTGAGTTTTGAATTACACTATGATTCCAAATGTATCAGTTACCATCTCAGAAACTGCATCCCATGTTGGTGCAATAGGCTTACCAAATGGCAAGGCAATATGTCACCGCTGCATATACATGCATACTGAAAAACTGCAATTTCTGTTTAAAGCAGCTGTACTATTTTTTCCAGCACATTTTCTGACACTAAAGGCAATGGGTCTGCTAAAGATGATCATTAAGACATTCAGAGTGTGAAGGAGAAAATGATCAAAAATGCCCCTGAGTTAGTCAGGATGAGGCTATTCCATTCTAAACAGCAGTAAGTGAACCAAATGGGAGTCATTTACAAAGGCGGAATACTGGTTCCCAGCACTAAAGATAAATCACAAAAAAACGAATGATAGAAGATTCTCACTTTGTGAAACTTTTGGATGATTCACGAGTCTTATTCACAGAGGTTTTAGGAAAACAATAAATAAAAAGTAGTTGCTAAGTGAAACAAACTAACCTAGCCCAGTTCAAAATATTTGTTTTGTATATAGTAGAAATTTAGCAATTTTTGTCATGTAATGCCACTGTCATCTTTATCCAAAATTAAACTCCCTTGGCTTGGCTTAAACTGAGAGCTTTGGGTAAAATTCATGTCAGGGTGTGATTGTTTCCTGTTAATTGTTTGTATTCTATTCCTTAATTCTTTGCTGGTGAATGTATTGCTTAGGAATATAAATGTACATGCTATCTTTTGTCCAAGACATTCCACACGAGGCTTCATCTCTTTTCCAATTTTGTCCTCATCTCACCTCTCCTTCCTGAAGGACTGCAAATGGCCTAAAACAACCAAATTGAGCATTATAGCTGGCTGAGATTTAAACTTTCTTTAGTTCATGGTCAAGTTTCACTAACCTCACTTTCTTAAGATGCATTAGATTTAAATCCCCAGGAACCCCCACTCAGCAGAGAATTCATGCCTGCTAAATTCATACATTCATACATTCAGTGCAAAACATTCAACATAAATGAAATAACCTGTGTGGAAAGAACTATGCTGGTGAGAACTTTTCTACTCATTTTAGCAAATATAGTAATATTATGCCAAGGGTAGAATAAAAATTGTTGTATGTATATGAGAATAAATAAGTTACTGTTTTCCCTGTTATGCAATACATATTCCTCTAAACAAGTGCTTCTTAGTAACAGAAATCCAATAAGCTAAGAAAGGGATTATTTAAAAATCAGGTGTCTTATTTGCTGTGATGGACCAATGCATACAAATTTAAGACAATACTTCTTTTACCCAATCTTCTTTCATCCCCTCAACAAAATCAGATGTCTTAAAATAAATAATATAGTAGGCTACCTATTTGTGAATTTTATCACTTTTCTGTAAACATCAGAACCTTATTTATTACATTTTAAAACTGCCCATTTCCCTCACAGAGGGACTCTAAGATAAAGGTAAAGGTTCCCCTTGCACATATGTGCTAGTTGTTCCCGACTCTAGGAGACAGTGCTCATCTCTGTTTCAAAGTCAAAAAGCCAGCACTGTCCAAAGATGTCTCTGTGGTCATGTGGCTGGCATGACTAAATGCCGAAGGCACACAGAACGCTGTTAGCTTCCCACTAAAGGTGGTTCCTATTTTTTGACTTACATTTTACATGCTTTTGAACTGCTAGATTGGCAGAAGCTGGACAAGTAACAGGAGCTCACTCCGTTATGTGGTGCTAGGAATTCGAACTGCTGAACTGCTGAACTTTCTGATAGACAAGCTCAATGTTTTAGCCACTGAGCCACCATGTCCCCTGGGACTCTACAATAAAATATTTTAAAACATAAAAACTGTATAAAATTTAAAACTGGCAAGGATGTTAAAAATGATATTTTTAAATTAAATTAAAGCTTCATGAGGGTTTAACCCTCATTAAATCCTCATGCTATTTTTTACTTGATACTCAAATTAGCATAAATTGCTTTTCCTTTGAAAACACATTTAAAGTTAACATTTATATATCTTGTCTATTTATAAAATCATGAATAGTAATTCATATGAAAAATACTTCAAATAAATAAAAGTAGTAGTAGTTCTAGCTTGTATCTGAAATAAATTTTTTTTTCATATAAATCACTTTAGTTTAAATAGCAGATTAGAAATTCTGGCTATTTTAATGGAACCATTTTAATGGAATACTGTAGATATATATTTAAACATTAAGCTGCTATGCTAAATTAGGCTTAATTCTTGATAAGAAATTAAGAGAATAAGGATTGTTGATATATTTTTGTGTTCCTCCTATTTCTTCAAAATCTTGTATTCTATGTTGCCTGTTTTATAGTTATTTTAAGCTTGGGAAGGAAAGGGAAGGGAAGTTAAGGACATATAATAGTTGATCAATGCAGGGAAAGTTGAATCCACTATGAATAATCTATCAAGTAAATATATAAAAAGCAGAAATCCTCCTGTGCAAAGGGTAGTTAAAATTAAGCCTATATCTGTTTTTTAATTATTTGAACTTCTTGTCTACCAGAACAATAAGATGTTTCATAAACATCTTTGGAGGAAGAGATGAGTGATTAAGGACCTCATGTGGTTCTGAAGATTCAGATTTGTCTGAGACTAGGGGAGGATGGAGGTTCTGTCAGGTTTTCATTCTCCAGTCAGAGAATGAATCTGTTGGCTTGGAAAATCCTAAGTATGGTATAATGAGTTTCTTTCTTTGAAAATGTAGTCTAACTTCACCTTCTGTAATGGAATGTGTAGAGGAACTTGGGGAATGAGGGGAAGAGATGCCACCTAGGAAAGAATCAGATAAGAGAGGCAGAAGCCCCCAATGTCTTAATAGTCAGAGAAAGGAAGGACACATCCTAATTGTTCAGACGGTTAAAAGTGGTAGTGGGAAGTTTGTACTTTGAGACCTGCAGTTGAGATTGATGTCAGCTCTCCCAAGTAAACCAGAAAGAAAACACCACTAGATGAGCTAAATCTACTTTACTGTAAGGCTACATTAACAGAATCACTTTTAACCATTTGATCCATTAGGGTATGTGCTTATGTCCTAATTCTCTTTCTTTAACCATTGTCATTAGAGGTTCCTGCCTCTCTTGTCTGATTGTTTCCTAGGCAGCACCTCTTCCTCTCATTCACCAAGGTCATCCACACATTCCGTTATATCCTCTGAAAAATCTTATAAGTAACAATTATTAAACATTCCTCGTTTTATACATGTATGTTTTGTATCCGATACACATACTTCATAGCTTGATAGCTCAGGAGCATTAACCCAAAGATTTTGACTTTGGCTTTGCCTAACACTGTAATGTAACCTGCAATTAAAAATTGACCTCCATTGTAGAGAATTGACCTCCATTGTAGAGAGCTAGCATTTGAGAAGATGTAATGTATCATTTGCTATTATTTTCCAAGAATGCATACACCACTTAAAAAAACTGGGAGTTTATGAAACAGAACAATACTGAAAATTCTTATAACAATAACAATTTAATTTTAGGGCCTTGAAATCATAGATCAAGCATGGTGAACTTCTGTTGAAATAATAAGCTTTCCAAATAATATATTGGATGCCAAATGCTGATGGTAAGTGAGGCTTAAGCAAACAATGGACAAGGCAGAACCAATACAATGTCTACTTACTTCTCTCTTTTATATTTCAGTTTCTAAAAATTTCTCTCTCCTTTCTTCATAAAGAAAGCTAGAAAAATTGTATTTGGCTGAACTGATTACAAGTAGCAGACTTTTAACATTATGTTAGAATCTGCATTCAGCCCTAGGGCCACTTCTTATATAGAAGATTCAGTGAAAGCATCATATCCCATTTGTCATTGCAACATTTAAAGCTGAGTATGAGTTAAACTAAATTTTGAATAGTAGCTCCACATTATTTTTGTAAATTTCTGAAGCTCTCCTGATAATATATTTCATATGTTGTTTCTCTTCATCAGCTTGCATACAGGCAGGTTTGAAGACCCTGAGATCTGACAA